AGGAAGGAAGGAAGAAGGAAAGACTAAGGCACAGTGCTCAGGCTCTGAGTTCAAGTTCTAGGACAAGTGCTAGGATACACACACACACCCAGCACTTGGTAGGAGAAGGAAGTAGCAGAACTAGATTCCCATGGTAACACATTCCCTAAGACACATAGCTTTTGCTCCTATCGCTAACAGGTCTCTGTAGCACCTTAGAAAAGGGACCATTGGGTGGATGATGTGACTTGAGGAAGAGGATAAAATCCATTTACATTTTGAACTGAAGCTGAGAGGTATGGCATGTCTCCCCTAGATCATAGTCTGGGGCTGCTGCCCATTCATGTGAACCACCCATGTGATGGAGACCGTACAAAGAGACGTCTGTGATGTTTCTTCTTTTTCTCCAGTAGTGATAACCCAACCCTGTCTGCACATAGAATCATCTTGGAGGAGAGCTTCAAAAATACCCACTCTCCTCCATCCTAAAACACCAGGATTCAGATATGAAATTCTTCTGTGAATCCCAGTCTCTTCCACTAAAAAGTTACCTTAGAAAAACCTGTGCTGTCTACCTCAAGGGATGTTGTGAAGATCAAACACAGAAACAGCTTTGTGAAATATCACAAATATTATGAAAATGTCAGCCATGTTTAACTTCTTTAATTATGCTCCGTGCAGCAAAAGGTTCCTTTTTCATAACAAAAGCGAACTGCTAGAATACACCTGATGACCATGCAATCACCTGAAGTTGTCTGGCACCAGCAGGACTTTGCCACTTGACTTTGAGCTCATTAGGGCTTATATCAACAGTGACTGAGGAGCAAGGCCTGGTGGTTATGGTCAAATTGGTCAATTTGGAGATACCACAGTAGTCTCTTTGGCCAATGTGCAATATATAACTGGATGTTATTGAGAAACAAACAGTAAGGCTTCCTAGGAGATAGATTATATAAGTTGACTTAAGGAAAGTTCGGTCTGTTTATTAACACCATAAGAATTTATCAAGGAAGTGGCGCTGTAGCTCAAGTGGTAGAGCGCTCGCCTTGAGCTGAAGAGCTGAGGGACAGCGCCCAGGCCCAGAGTTCAAGCCCCACGACCGACAAAAAATAAATAAACAAATAAATAAAAATAAAATTATCAGATCTACAGACATATTTCTCTATTTAAAAAAAAAAGAATTTATCAAGTAAATGAGCATGGGCCAGCCTGGAATACGTAGTGTATGCATGTGTCTCAGCCTTTGACTTTTAGGTCCTTTCCCATAGAGGGATCAAAATGGAACCCAGTCCTAGTTGGGTCTAACTTTACCTAACTGTGTGATCTAACCAGTCCATTTACTTCTGTAGGTCTCCTTTATAATCTACTTAGTAATTTATGTGCATTTTAACAGAAAACTTCTAGGATCATTATGAGCTCATGAAGATTTTATATTTTCCTTGTAGCTGCTTTAATGGTATTATTATTATTCAAACCACTGAGTTGATCAGAATCATTTGTGAGGAAATTTTACCACCTACTTCGAGTAACTGTGTGGTAAAATATGGGCTGCTCTTCAACTACTTTAATGAGTCAATACAAATATACCGTATGTTATTTTTACAGATTGTCAGTCAACAAACACCTGTGGTTGGGCTTTCTAGGTAGCTTGTTCCTGAGAAAGACACAGTCTCTGTCTGGACTTACTATTTCTAGAAATCAAAGCAGAGATGACTTCAGCAGTGCTTCAAGCACAGCACAAGGTGAATGAGTCCCAAATGCTTTGAGTTTCTCCTGCTCCTTCCAGATGGAGCTGGAAGTGTGCTGTCTCTGCTCTTCATGGTTTGATAAAAAGATGTGGTTGCTCATGCATGAATTCTGGCTACTCAGGAGGCTGAGATATGAGGACTGAGGTCTGAAGTCACTTTGGGCAGGAAGTCCATGAAACTCTATCTCCAATTATCCACCAAAAAGCTGAAAGTAGAGCTGTGGCTCCAGTTGTAGAGTACTGGTTTTGAGTAAAAGAGCTAAGAGACAATGTGTAGGTTCTGAGTTCAAGCCCAAGTACCAGCACACACACACACACACACACACACACACACACACACACACATGCACAAGATGTGATTCATAAAGATTTAGGCAACCCCTGGATCTCAACACATGTGCTTGGGTGGAAACAGAAAACGTGGTGACTGTGAACATGACATTCTTCACACAATCTCAACCCAGACTACCACAAAGCCACCACAATGCTTTTGTACTCCTCTATGAGTCACTCAGCAAATGCACCACAAATCATTTTCATTCAAGACCAGCTTCCTCAAGCTACCCAGATCTCCATACCACTTCCCTTTCCTTGCAAAAGGCAAACATAGTCTAGAAAAGGCCTTTGGGAAAACAACAATGTAATAAATCTATGGTAGGCAGTAGAGGTAACTTCCATGTCATGTTCATAGAAGTTGACAAAAAATATCACTGGGTTTTTTTTTTTTTTGCTTAGCTTTTTCTTCCTACATTTTTCATACAGAAGCATGTCATAATTTTCTTAACACCCCTTCAAAACTGAGCAAATCCTCTCATTCCACTCAAGTATTTTAAAATGTAATCTGGCCTTCTAGATCATGACAAAAGTATCTTTCAACTTGTATGTATCTTTGACAAAGTAAGAGGATTAAATGTATTTTACTTTCTAGATTGTTGGTTTCATTTTTAACTAAGTATTTAGAATAGTGTTACAGGAGCCTCTACTTGTACTCTAGTCTCAGTCTCAACCAGTAAATTAGGGCTGTGTTCAGGGGAGGGTGCTACACCCTACAGATTTAGTGTATTATTCTTGGTGTCAAAACTGGTTTATATCCAATTTAGTCCAAACAAATCACCAAAATAGCATAACTGTTTTTTGGTAGTCATGTGGGCAGCTGAGTGTTTAGTACAGGAGTGTTTAGTACAGGAGTGTTTAGTACAGACAGTGCCCAACTTGTGTTGGTTAAGTCATAATTTTTCCATTTCATGGTGGTATAGAAGTGATATATAGCTGGTCACCGGTGGCTCCTGGCTATAATCCTCATCACTCAGGAGGCTGAGATCTGAGAATCTTGGTTTGAAGATATCCTGGGTAGGAAACTCCACGAGACTCTTTACCCAGCAGAAAAGTGGAAGTGGAGCTGTGGTTCAAGTAATAGAATGATAGCTTTGAGCAAAAAAAGCTAAGGGACAGCACATAGGCCCTGATTCAAGCCCTCATACACAGACACAGACACAAACACAGACACACAGACATACACACACAAATACAGACATACACATACACACTCAAGATACATGCAGAAGGACAACTGTGATTTGAGTTTTGAATTTTGATCTTTTCTTGAGCTAGAGATATAGAGTATGATTCTCTAGGGCTATTCAGCAATGATGGTAGCCACAGCTCTCCATCAGCCCTGTGACCTCTTCTGTGGTCACAGAAGAACAGCCAACACTCTCCAGGGCTGGGCTGCTGAGCATGATTGGTTGGAAGGTCATGGGTAAAACACATGGGACTTGCATGGAAGCCAGTCACTCCTTTTAACTTCCAAGAGTAATTTCCAATCTTTGGGAGCATACCTCACTCATAATTTTGGAGCTGTCTTCAGTGTGTGCCACAGATCTTTGTATAGCAATATACCATTTTTGTTGATTAACCATCAATATTATTTAAGACAAACTTTTACAAGCAATATTTTCTTTCTGAAAATATCACCCCCGCCCCAGTACTTTTAAGGTAAGATCTTTGTATTAGCTAAATAAAACTTACAAAGAAGTGGCCACTTCACCTGAAATTTCCACCCATTCATCTCCCCAACTGTAACATGAAGGAAGCTATTCTTCAGTTCAAGAGAGTTTGCTTAAGGATCTGAAGCACTGAACTGTTTAAGTACACAGGGTTTGCAAGACACGGGACATACTTCAATGAGAAGACATCACCATCAGAAAGTACACAGTTCACTGGAAGTATGGATGGGATTGAGAAAAAAAAGGGGTGCCAGGGGTGTCGGGGGTGGGTAGAAGATGAAAGGGGTGACATTGGCTATTGTACTCATTGGCATTGTACTCATAATCTGACTAGTTGAATTAAAACCCCTTGGTACAACTACATAAGATAAAATAAAAAGTGCCCGGGTATGGTATGGCGAGCAAACTGATTTCTGTGGCAAATGTATTGGGATGACTTACCTCCGTATCAGCATAAACATGAACTGGATAGTCATCTCCCCTCGGACACCTGTATGTTGTGTTCTACAGACCCTTGTCAGCTACCTTACCAAGTGGTATGTTCTAGCTGCCTACAGAGGAGGAGACTCAAAGACATGCTTGCCTTTTAAATAAACATTTCAATTGTTTCCCTTATTCAAGCCACTCAGGATCAACAGTACCGTCATCAAATGTGCCAACACAAGAACTTCAAGCCAAACTCAACTGATGCCCACTGCAGAAATCCTTTTTCTTCTGAACTCTGTGAAGTCCTTGTTCTTTCTCTGTGCCTCTCATGAGAATAGTTAGCTACTATATGCAAAGAGCACGTACAGCAATCACACACATTCACTCCCCGCCTCCCCATCAATGTCTTACTGAAGAGCTAAGGCTTAGGAGTCAGACTTGAGTTTAGTTTGTGCCTGTCAGCATAAGCGGAGGCCAACACGGGGGCACAGCACATCCCTTATGCTTTTTAGGTCTGGTTTTCTCATCTCCGAAATGAGATTCATCATAGAAACGATGTCCCTGGGTATTAAGGATTAAATGAACCAAGATCCACAAATTCCTTAGCACAGGGAATTATGCATTCAATAAATAGTACATTGAATGATTATTCTTTAATAACGGTCGTGTCCCCCGACCCCCATTCTTTTTAAAATTCTGCAAAGTAGTTCCCATCCTCCATAGGGCTTGAACGGACTTCTCAGAGGTTGAAGAATTCACTAGTGACCCACACCTGCGACTTCCAGCCGCAGGCCAGAAAATCCCATCCCCCACATACCCCATCCCCACCCACCCCCACCCCCTCACCCCCAGTCCACTTTATAGACTTTTATAGAATGTGATGCAGTGTCCAGCACGAGGAGAGAATTCTCCTTGGTGAAGGCCAGTGCCACGGGATGAGAAAGCCCGTGTGTGACCATGGGCCTCAGCCCTGGAAAGTCCTCAGGTTTCCCCAAGCACAGGATGGCTGGGCCTGTGGTGTCTGCCACGATCACATTGCCCTGGTGGTCAAAGGTCACGGCGGACACGGTGATTCTGGAGGGAAAGAAGAGGCTCAGCCCAAAGGTATCCACCTGACCGATCAGCTGCATGGTAGAACTGAACACCTTCACCCTGGTGGTGCAGGGCCCCGTCTCCGGGGCCGAGGGATGATGCTCCAAGACGGCCACCGCCCCGGAGAGCCAGGACACAGCCACCCCGCGGGGGTTGCACAGCTGAGCCTGCAGCCTCTCGGTTCTCCGAAGAACCCCCTCGGCGAAGTCGACCTCCAGGAGGTGCAGGGCCCCTCGCTCGGCGTCGGTGACCACCAGCCCGTTCTGAGGGGTGGTGTCCACACCCCAAGGCAAAGAGAACCGGCCTCCTCCGACGACCAGCTTGCTCTGGCCCAAGAAATCAAACACCTTGAGGGAGCGATCGCCCGCGTCGGTGACCGCCACGTGGCCGTCGTGGGTGACCGTGACGTCCAGCGGGTACCTCACGTCGGGCGCCGCGTCGCCCTTCTCTCCAAACTGATGGACGCAGCCTCCGGCCGAGTCGAAGATCTTCACCCGCCTCTTACCGTCGTGCACCACCACCACCCGTCCGGTCTTGGGGCACAGTGCCAGCCCCGTGGGGTTGACCAGGGTCCCCCATCCGCCGAAGGCGTGTTGACAGGTGAGGGTCCCGGGCGGGGCGCTCGGCGCGGCCCCCGCAGCCGCCGGGGCGCACGGGGCCCGGTGGGGCAGGGTGGAGCCCAGCAGCTCCAGGAGGTGGAGCACCGGCAGGCAGTCGCTGGTGTCGCAGGCCCGGCAGGCTCGCCGGCAGAAGGGGCACTCGAGCGCCAGCGTCCGCGGGTGCGCCAGGGCGGCCACGCAGGCCAGGCACACCACGTGTCCGCAGGGCAGGTTGCGCGGGCGCCGCTGCTGCCGGTGGCCGAACCGCTCAAAGCACACCTTGCACTCCAGCAGGCTGCTGTCCGCCTCGCGCACCAGCTCGGGCGGCAGCGCCCGCCGGCTCCCCGAGGCCGCCGCCTCGTCCCCCATGGCCGCCGCGGCTTCCCGGGAGCTCCCGCCGCACGCTGCCGCGCACCGCGCTGGACGCGGCCCCCACCCCGCAGCTCTCGGCCACGGTCACCGGCCGGTCACGGGGCCCTGCGTCCGCCCAGACGTGCAGCGTCGTCCCCGGGCCCCGCTGGACCGCCATCTGCTGCCCTCCGGTGGCCACGCGGCACGGTTTGCATTGGCAAGACACATGGACAAGCGTCCTGTGCAGACTGGTGGTAGCATCCATCTTGGATGGATGATGCGCTGTGTGTGTGTGTGTGTGTGTGTGTGTGTCCGTGCGCGCGACTGTCTGTCTGCCTGCCTGTCCGTCTGCCTGTCTGTGCCAGTACAGGCTTGAATTCAGGGCCTGGACTCTTGTCCCTGAGCTTTTTTTGCTCACGACTGATACTCTACCACTTGAATCACAGCCCCACTTCTAGCTTTTGGGTTGGTTAACTGGAGAGAAGAGTCTCCTGCTTAGCATGGCTTCAAATCTCCACCCGTGGATCTCAGACTCCTGAGTACCTATTATAAGCATGAGCCATCAGCGGATGATGCTACTTGATAGTGGAGGAAATGCACCTGTTGAAGACCAAGTTACCCAGCCTGAAAATTACTAAGCAAGAACGTGAATGCAGACATCCAACACTGGTTCCAAGCAGAGCTTCCAATCGATCCTCTGGGTGCTGTGCACTAGAATGGGCAGACAACTCGGCCCTAGAATACAACTGGGAAAACACCTGAACAAAGAGATGTCAGATGAGGGTGAGGCAGGTACAAATATTCCTTTGATGTGTTTTATCAACTCATGGCAGATGTTTAATGAATTGCACTAGGCAGATCACTATAATGTATGGGAATCATGACTGGGAATGTCTTCCAGAGGAATAAATAGGAAATAAGAAAGATGTTAGTTTATAACAGTTACTGTAGACCTTCCTTCTTTTAAGTGGTTTGCAAAGATTATCTTATTTTAACTTCAAGACAATGATTTCTTTTTCTGGTGCTGAGGATCCATCCAGCAGTGTAGAGTGCTCTACTACTGAGTTACATTACGTCGTTTTATTTTTGCTGGACCTGGGGCTTCAACTCAGGGCCTGAGCATTGTTCCTTAGCTTGTTTGTTTAAGGCTGATGCTCTACCACTTAAACCACAGCTCTCCTTCCAACTTTTCACTGGTTAATTGGAGAAAAGAGTCTTATGGACTTTCCTGCTTGAGATGGCTTTGTTCTGAGATCCTCAGATCTCAGCCTTCTAGCTAGGATTACTAGGATTAAAGGTGTGAACCACTGGCACCCAGCTTTGGTATACGTATGTATGTATGTATGTATTTATGTATTTCCTTTTCTTTTTTGTTGGTTGTGGGGCTTGAACTCTGGGCCTGAGCACTGTCCCTGAGCTCTTCAGCTCAAGGCTAGCACTCTACCTCTTGAGCCACAGCGCCACTTCCAGTTTTCTGGTGGATTATATTGGTGATAAGAGTCCCACAGACTTTCCTGCTTGGGTCAGCTTTGAAATCCCTAGATCTCAGCCTCCTGAGTCACTAGAATTACAGGTGCCACCAGGCCTGGCTGGTGTATTTCTTAAATTAAAATTTACTTGTGAGGCCTACCACGGATGGATCATACCTGTAATCCTAGCTACTCAGAAGCTGAGATCTGATGATAGTGGTTCAAAGTCAGCCTGGGTAGGAATGTCTGTGAGACTCTTATATCCACTAAACTACCCCAAAAGCTCGAAGTGGAGCTATGGCTCAACTGGTAAAACACTAGCCTTGAGCAAAAAGCTCAAGAATGGTGCCTGGGCCCTGAATTCAAATCCCAGGACTGGTGTGTGCACATGCACACACACACACACACACACACACACTCTACACACACACACTAAACACACATTCAAAGTAAGAAAATTTTTTAAAAAGGAAGAAATCATCCAGGGCATTAAATATGCTATAAAAATTTTGAAATGCTTTATGCTTTTGCGGGGGTGTATTCAATAAAAGCCAATGATTATTTTACATTCACCATGATTCCTAATTCTGAATAACTCCCTTTCAAGTGCTCATAACTCTACAAGGCTGGTGGCTACCACTTATAACAGGGTAAATCTAGCCTGAGTCTGTTCTAGAAGATGTAACTTTCTCAAGAGGTTTCTCAAACCCACTACATTGATTTGTTCCTGGCTTATAACTTACCTCTCCTCCAACATTATCAAAACCATTCAAAGACTCAAGTTCTTGCTTACTGTAGCCAATCTTCAGTTCCTCAGTGATATCCTGCCATCCTGTGAGGGATGCCCAGAAGAGAGGAGCTAGAAGGCTCTGGTCCTGTCCTTGGATACTGAGCCTACCATACCATTGTCTTCTTGATCCTTGGCTGCCCCTATGAGGTAGGTAGTAGTATTGCACCTTGGGATCCCTTCCCAACCAAAGTCTTGGGAACACAGCTTGCAGCAAGGCTGCAGTGAATAGGTTCATGGTAACTGCTCTACTCCTCAGAAGCTGGGCAGTGTATGCGGCATATATGCAGTGTCACAAGCTTTGCAACATTTGATTAGATATTAAGGATTTCTTAATCATGCATGATTCAGACTTAACATTTGTTTGAATCTTTTTCAACTTACCTGACTGGGTGTCATGGGCCATCATTATCATCATGATCATGATCATGATCATCTTGATTTCCTTTCTCCTAGTACAATTAACCACAGCTTGTAGTTTAGTGCACATCTCAACCCAAGCCAGCACTCACTCCCTTTTCTACTTCTTCAAAGATAGGGAGTTCAACTAATCTTGCTACCCATTCTTAAAATTGCACTTTAGCTTCATCCACCCTTTCTATTACTCCTATCTCTGAAGAGATCAACTCAGTTCTGTGTCTGGTTTTACCCAGAACTCTATCCCAGTATCTAATTCAGGCCTGACAGGCATAGGAGTGAACGCTGACTGTAGTGATGGGAAAACATGTAGGTATTTAAAAATCTTGCAGCTCAGGCCTAAAATGAATGCCAGGCATGCACAAAGCCCTGAACTCAGTTCCTAGCACCAACGAAAAGTAATTGCTAGTTCATCAAAGGGCAGATAAAATAGAGGAGATACAAATCTTCATCCATGATAACACTGCAACTTTGTTAAAACATATGAGCAGACCAAAGAGATAAAAAGAAACAGCAATCTAAGAGGTAGTTATCTTCAGCAATAGAACTTGATTGCTTTTGTCTTCCTTCTTAGACTTTCCCAGATTTGCAGCATATTATCTTTAGTTTTAAAATATGAATAAGTAGCCATGCACCAGTGCCTCACCCCTGTAACTCTAGCTATCCAGCAGGCTGAGATCTGAGGATCACAGTTCAAAGCCAGTCCAGGCAGTAAACTCTAAAAGACTCTTCTCTTCAATTAACTCACAAAAAGTTGGAAGTAGAGCTTGGCTCAAGTGGTAGATCACCAGCTTTGAGCATAAAAGCTAAGAGACAGTGCCCAGGCCCCGAGTTCAAACCCTAACACCAGCATATTATATTATATTATCTATTATATGCATACATTCACATACATCTGTATCTACATTCACATATATTCACATATGCACATGGATATATGAATGAATGTTAATATCTCATTTCCATGTGTTACTTTCCTTGATAGTTTTCCTCTGTGTATTAATGATAGTTAACATCAGTAGTGAAACCAATTTCTATTAATATACACTGGCTAGGGTCTGCAGAATTGCATTTTTTCAGTTTACACATGAAAACTATACATAATGAAGAAATCAGAATATTTACTTCAAGCAGCAGAGCAGGCTGAAGATACAAGTACAGAATACTACCCTATCTCCATGAGCTCCCGTATCTCAGCATTTGTAATAGAAATAAGATACATTAAATAAGAAGCAATGGAAAGTCACAGCTGTAAGGATGAAGACAACTTTGATTTTTGAAAAACATTTTTAATCTTTCTTCAAGAGCTTTGATTAGAGCCAAATAGATGTGTGCATGCGTGTTATAAACTTACTACCCTCAATTGGTCTCTCTTGTGTTTTGTTTATTTTTGTTTTGCTGCTGCAATGGAAAGCTGGGGAGGAGAATTCACTTTTTTTTTTGTGTCAGTCGTGAGGGCTAAACACTGGGCCTGGGCGCTGTCCCTTACTCTTCAGCTCAAGGCTAGCACCCTACCATTTGAGCCACAGCGCCACTTCTGGCTTTTTTCTACTTATGTGGTGCTGAGGAATTGAATCCAAGGCCTCATGCATGCGAGGCAAGTACTCTACCACTGAGCCACCTTCCCAGCCCTCACTTTTTTTTTTTCCATCAGTCATGGGTCACTATCCCTGAGCTCTTTTGCTCAAGGATAGCAATCTACTATTTTGAGCTACAGAGCCACTCCTGGTTTTCTGGTGATTAATTGGAGAGAAGAGCCTTTCCTACCCAAGCTGGCTTTGAATTTTGATCCTCAGATCTCAGCTTCCTGAGTAGCTAGGATTATAGGTGTGAGCCATGGTGCACGGCTGGAGTCACTTTTATTTTTCCTAGTTGAGCAGAGAATAAGCTAAGAAGAAAATTTCTCAGTAACTGAGACCCATCATCCACTTGATTCAGATTTTTAGGTGGGAGTCATTGATTTCACTTACATTCAATTCGTTGTGGAATTGGAATCAGGAATTTATAACTTCTGTAAGCACATACCGTGGGTGGGAAGCCAGAAATACTGGGAGCAAACATTGCAAGCAACAGCTGCATGGTGTATTTGAGTAGTAGGTCCATGGCAGAAGGGGATAGTCAGGCCATGTGTTCTGAATTTTAAGGATGTTCACATGAAACTTTGTGTTTAAGGCTTATCATTTCTTAAATTTAAATTTTTTCGGGGGGGGGTCCCCACAACCTCATTTCTATTTCTTAGATTCATTTTGATAAGCATCATTTTATATGGTCACATACACATAGCTATTGAGCCATTGAGATCCTCTCCTAAGAATATCCTCCTTTGTTCTCACTGTGTGAATGTT